GGAACGAAATACATCAGTATACATGTAAATGTACCCCAGATATAGAGTAATGAGATCCACGATCGGTTCCATGTTAGGGAAGATGGTGTTCATTACTGAGTGCTGATAACAAAGATTTAGTTTTTTCTGTTTGAATGAAGCTAAGTATTAAGGTTCAAAAATTTAATAATTGATACATTGCGGTTCATTCTTTTTTTTTTATTCCCTCGTTTAAATTTTAGTTTTTAGAGATACATTTTAAACAGTCTGGTGAAGCAAATTAGCTGTCATTTTGATTATACGGAAATAGCTCTATAAAAGACATAGAAATATTTTGAACAGTTATACAGTGCGTGATAGCCGCCTTTGCAGGCTCACGATACGGAGACGTAGGTGGCTTGGAATTCAATATCCATTCTCGGCAAGTTTAAATGTATTCAGCTTTTATACATCTTCTAGCTGGAAGCTCTTAATGTATCGTGCATTTTAGCGAATTTCGATAACGTGGACAATCATGGCCCTACGTGATATTTTGACATCGAAACAGATTGAAGAAAGAAAATTGAAAATTGCCAGGTGTCAGATTTAAAACTTCGATGAATAATAATCGCTAGTTATCCTCGTTTTCTACCATCATAATTAAAAAATAGGACAAAGATAAAACGCGCGTTGAGGTGGAGGGCGCCATTAGTAGACTCTGGTGATGGCATCAAATTTGGAAACAGATAGAAGATTACATAAGATGCTCCAGCGTCAAACTACTTGGAATCTGCCGTTTAATTATTTTAAGAGCACAATGATTGTAGAAAATTATCATTACCAAAGAGATCTATTGTAAGTACCTTTCAATCTTTCAAAAGCTGTCTTAATCTAAAACATAAAATAAATAAACTCACGATAGCTACCTACATCAAACTTTAAGTAATATTCATTGTGAGTAAGACAAATTTTGGTTGAAGAACATACTTCTTGGAGAAGTGTTCAATGGACCAAATGTCCATACGTACCCTAATGTCAATCGGAAGCTGAATAATTGACTTCCAACCCGATCAAATGTGAAGCCTTCAAAAAAACCCTGACTCTACGAAAAATCTGAAAGCATCCGTTTTGCCTACCTAAAGGTCAACCTTGTTACCATGATTATTTGATCTCTGCTCGAGGAATGAGCTTTTTTTTCATGGTGTTTGCTTTGAGGACAAAAAAAATCCATTCACGGTGGCAGCGTTGCCAAGTTACTGACAGGAAATGGTTGCTGTTTGATTTCGAAAGACAACAGAGCTTGTATACTCTGAATCTAGACAGGAGATTTTTTAGCAAACTACGGAGCTACCCACCCAGAAATAAACCAACATTGAATTCAGATACACCAAAAAAAAAAAAAAAAAAAAAAAAAAAAAAACTAAATGCTAAAATCATCTTTAATTCACCATGGATATAAAAAAACATCCACTCAAAAAAATAACAATTTCAGCATAAAAAAGCATTTAAATTCTTTAGATAGGTAAATTGAGCTTTTGAATATTTTAATAGGTATTAGATTTGCAGTTTATAGGCGATAGCAATCAAATGATATCATAATTGAGGACGTTTGGGTTTGACAAGAAAGTAATGAAATTGCATCATTAGTTTAAATTTAAGCAGCTTTGTGAATTCTCCTTCACGTTTGTCAGCTAAATAGATATCATGAAAGTATAATCTACTTTTCAAGTAATCTTTATCCAAAATCCGGCCAGCAAATCAAGGCATATTGAATCTTAAATCCGTTAAGGGAAATACACCAGAAAACCAAAAACAAACAAAGCCTCATCTTGGTGGCTTCGTTTAAAAGCCACTAAATCGGAATATGATTATAACATCGAGAGAAACACAGTTAAAAGGAAACTCTTCCGCGAATATTCTCAGGAAATACAAAATGTATCGTTATCCGTTTTGACAGTACTTCATTTTAGGTTTATTATTATCATGAATTGAAGAAACATCTACTGAAGATGAGACGTTTTGATCGAACTTCACATGTGTCAACATTTTCGGCACGAGAGGGGCACAAAAGAGAAAAATTATCTTAAAATGATCGCCGGCAAAATGTTTATTATTGCATATATGCATAAATGTTTGACTTCTAATTATCTTGGCTCTATTTTTTTTATCGTTACTCAAAAGGCGGAAAGGTTTCTTTTCTTTACTTTTTCTTGACACGACGAGTTTATGTTCCTGTGAGCTGAATAACAGATTATAATAATTAAAATAATTAGTTTAATGAGTTTTATTAAATTTAACATTTCTATTGTTCTGATTGGCTCACTCAACTCCGGTTATCAACTCATATACTGAGTCACCTTATACTGGAAATGAGTTGCACCGCCTGTTGTAGAGCTGAAAAAAGGCTCCAAACATCCGACATTTAAGATTTAGTAAAATTTGATAAAAAAATCAGGTTGTAGCCTGATAGGTTATGGCAAACTTGGTGCTTAGCGCCTCATTGGCTATTTACCATCTCATATCCAACGTGCGCCCATGTAACAATTGTCAAATATATCTTTATCCCGTTGTGTGCGTTTACATGGTGTGAATAACACAAATATGCTGACGCAGAGTTCTTGTCATCTGTAGGGATCATATAATTCAAAAGTATACAAAAATAGATTGTGAGCTTCCTATTTGTATTTCATAATATTTGACAAAACATAAGAATTTGTGTTTTTGTTCCACTTTGTTTACAACCACACAATGCTAGGTCACTCACATCTGTTACGAAGTAGATGGACAGCAGGGTAGCCAATTAGATCGCAGCATTTGTGAAAGTTAGCTAGTAAAGTCTTTTGGTAATGATTGATCGTCTTGATATGATTATTAGTTTGGCAAGATCAGTTTTCTCACACTCCTAGTGATATGAGAGCGAAAAAGGAGTCGCGGAATCGTAAATGGAAAGGAATGTCAACTTGAAAAAACAAACAGTGCGAATCAATTGTTTTCATTGGATCATGCTATGGAAGTGAATACCGACATAGGCCGTATTTGATTATTGGAAAGTTCGCAAAGTTAATCTGAATTCTACACATCCTCTGGTAAGAAATATCTTTAACCCACATACTGAAAAGTAGAAATAATTTTATAGACCAAGAAAGACTCCTCTTACCCAGGCTAAAACTCTAACAGCGTCTGTAGCTTAATTTACAGTTACTTTGGCATGTATGGTTGTGTACACGTCGCTTTAGACACTCTGCCATTTACGAGTTACCTTATGAATAAATTGTNAGAGCGCGCCTTCAACGCTATCCACTGTTTTAGTATATACTAATACAGATTATAGATAATTCTAGAAAAGTCTGGGATTGCGTGACAGATTCAGTAAAAATAATTTGATCCTCGTAACAAAGACTTCCTTCGCTTAGCGAAATGTTCGAATTCCTGCCGAACATAACAAAGGAAGAGAATGATTGATTTTAAGGTCCAAGTATTCATTTTAAGAATGACTTTTCCGTCTCCGGACACTTCTTCCACATTAACTCTCTGACGCACATATTTAGATTAGGATTAAATCTGCGCCACTTTTTTACCATTTGAGTTCTTTAAGGGATGTCTTTAATGATTTGTTTGGACAAGGAGAAAGGTTTTGGATGCGCTGTCCTTTAGCTTGCGTCAAAACTGATATCCGGGAACATACGTTATTCATAAGCTTTTGCTATTTTACGAAAAGATACCAAGATAATTAGGTGTTTACAACTGGCAATATCGATCTGGGCGTTCGTTGATGACCGACATATTCGTTTACTTCCTTCCTCAAAGCGTTGGTCGAATATATCACTTTGGTTTTCCATTGTTTCTCCTAATTCTGACTAAGCCTAAAATTGCTTTTCCAAGACTTTCAAGTGCCTTTTATAGGCCTGCACAAACCACACCAATTTAGAACAATTTCATCTACTGGAATGGTGAAATTTCTGAAACTAAATCGACTTAGGTTCTGTTCTGCCGCTTTGACAGATAGAAATGAAGTGTTTGTTCATTAATGTGGGCGAATATTTCCCATCAACAGACTTATCGTTTTCTTCGCTGTCACCAAATTGCCAAAAAATTTAAATTTCAGTGTTTTGTATCATATGAGCTTTCAGATGTACAAACTAAGCGTTCGGTTCCCACAGAACTGAATCAGTTATACATTTAGCGCTTCTGCAAATAATCCCATAATCGTTTTTCCGCGACAAAGGTAACGTATTTATTATTCCATTTAACTTCCAATTCTCGGTATAACAAATTACAGAAAAATAAATTATTGAGGAAGAACATTTTGAAATCAGTCTTTGATGTAGATTTTTATGTTTTCTCTTTGTGGAAAAGGAGATATTGATACAACCGCAGTTTATGTAGCCGTAACTGCTTTCAAATATGAGAATATAATTTTATTACAATTCAGTATTTTATGTCTTAAGCTAATTTATTCCAGTGACTGTGTGAAATGCTAAACTCCCTTTACTTTGAAATAATGTACAATTGTGTCGTTTAAAGTTTGTTGTACAAATCAGTTTACATTTTAGGATGATATTCGGAGTAAAACTGTAAGCCAGTTTTGGTTTGTTCTGGCTGATTTTAAAATGGAATACACAGCAATTCAAAGCCGATATAATTTTTTATAACTTCAGCCAGTCTATTCTGCTTACATAAATTGTCACCTGGTCAACGCAGATGTAATAATCCTCAGTTTTTTCTTTTCTCTTTTTTTACATTATTTAAATTCATTTTAAACCATGTTGGTAGCACTGATTCTAAGCATGTTGAATTTACATTTTCGAGTTTATCTTCTTTCAAAATCCAGTATCGAAACCTTAAATGAGCAAAGTCTAAAGAGACTAACTAGTACTTCGGCCAGGTCAACGATGATCGTTGGGGAAAACTTTTAATTAAAATGCAAATGAAACTTTAAAAAAAAACCACGCCATTCTTTACCTTTTGTTATGTTAGTTTAGAAACTAAGACGTTTAAAAGGTTCCAAAAAAGAAGGAATACTTTAAGACAAACAGCTGGCTCAGAAATTAGCTGTTGAGTGACTAACTCGTATCGTATCACGAACCGTGGTTTTCTAGAATCTCTCTTCTTTTTATTCGAGGTAAGAATTTCCTACAGAAAAGACGGCTTGATAAGAAATACTGCACTGGTTTATTTTCAATAGTTTTTTATTCACAAACCCGTCTGATTGTTTATTCATTTACCTCCTTACTTCATTAGGTTATCATCACAACAACAAGTTAGCTTTAGACGCTAACCTCTGAAAGATACGAAGACAAGAATCGCCATAAGTATAGCAGAAAAAATACAGTAAGTGTTTTAGGTATGTTTTGTCTCGCGGGTCTCCTTAGTGTACATTTAAGTATAACTTTACGTCCTCAGAGGGATATTTATTCATACTAAGAGGTAAATGTAAACAAAGGGTGAGTTAATATCTGTTGAATACTACTGGGATTAAGGAGGAGAGAAAATCTTCCAAAATGATCTATACCAAACTGCAAGAATGACAAAATACTATTTTGAAATTTCAAGCCAACTAAAAGTTCATAAGATACGTAGATACATTCTGTAAAATTATTTTGAAACTGCTTAATATGTTTAAAATTTTATTCACTTGGCTAAAATCAGGTGTCGATGATTAGTCGAGGCGGGTTTAGTTTGAAAGCAATTAGTCCAACCTCACAATTTTGTCAATTTTGTCGTTGCTTTTGGTAAAAGCAAAGAAATACAGAGATTATTTATCCTTTTACGCTTCTATGAAGACTGAATCTCGATGTTTATCCACAATAAACCATGTTCTAATGCAAGTTTAGATGCTACAAAAATGTTCATGCTTCCGGTGTTCTCTTACGATTTTCCCGTTTGAGTAGTCGGAAAATGTTAAAAAGTAATTTTGACAGCCCGAGCTACTTTAACCACTAAGGACATCTCAGTGTGGTCGCATCTGTGTGGCGAGTTTTCACTTATTAGTGATACAAAATGAGAATTGAAAATTTTTAAGTAGTAAAAAATAACAAAATAAACAGAATAAAAATAACAGTCTACTGTTAATACATTAGCCACCTATATGTAAGGCACATACGGAATATGTTTTTGTGAAGAAGTGGCCGTTGTAAGGTGTAATGTTACGTCTGCCACTTTTCAAGCTAGTGAATTTTTATCGATACAAAATGCTTGCTGCAGTTTACAATGACGTGAAAATTTTACAAAGTATCAATAACAGAACTAGGAAACCTGGCCGTAAAATCGACTCATAATGGAGCAAGTCCACTCCGTATATAGCAACTCACATACATCATGGTCAAAATAGAGAAACCTTGAGGCTTAAATGTTGATCGATAAAAGAAAATGCTGACGATTTCCTGAAGAGTTACATTGGGAAATTCGTAATTACCGATTTCACTTGTGCATTTACTTTTTTCATTCTCATTTGTTTCTTTTATCTCCTTTTTTTTCTTTATGTCTTTTCCTCCTTTTAGGTCCAGAGATGCCAAGTTCCAAGGATACGGAGACGCCCCTGACCAAGGCAGAGTCCATCGCGTTAACGCCAGCCTTTGGTTTAGTTGCGCTCACCATAGTTATAGGAAACTCTGTGACTATCGCTGCTTTTACTAAAACAAGCCTTAACCGAAGGCCAACCCATTATTTTCTCATCTCCCTCGCAGTGGCTGATTTGATGGTTGGAGCACTAGCAATGCCACTTTATATCTTCCACTTTGTAAATTCAGATTTGTGGAGTAAAAGTGAAGTTATTCAAACTATCTATTACAGTTGTGACGTTGTATCTGGCATGGCGTCTGTTTTCACCTTAGCAGTCGTATCTGTGGAAAGACTGTATGCTGTTGGTTGGCCATGGAAGTATCGTCACTACACTCCGCTGAAGTGTTACATAGTGGCGGTATCGGGCACCTGGATCTTGGCAGTCGCCATCTGCTGCCTCTACTTGTTTTTTCGATTTAAGTTCATCTCAGGCATCGTTCACACAGTAACCGTTGCATCTTTGTCCGTGTCGCTTACAGTCGCCTGCTGCGCCTACAGTGCTTTGTGGCTCCGGATCAAGTATCGAAGACGACGTCGAAGAGGTGTTGAAAAGGACAAAAGGCTCGCCATAACGTTGTTTCTCGTCACAGGGATTTTCATCGTGACGTGGATGCCTTTTGAGGTTATCATTATAATTGTGCACTTTTGCCGCTATTGCAAAAACCCCTCTCACAGGCTCGTTTATGTCATAAAATTACTTCAGTATAGTAATTCGTTCGTAAACACCCTAGTGTATTCATTTCGAATGCAAGACTTCCGCAGGGCTATCCTTAATGTGTTCCGCAACGGTTCTTTGAGTCCTAGGGGCAACATGCAAGTCAGGAACGTGGCAGGGATCACTCTGACATCAGTCTCCAATCTTGTCAACTCCTGTTCAGCGGTAAATTTAAACATCATATACGGTGAAAGACAGTTAAAGAGCAGCAATGGTGCGACAGGGCATAGAAGATTAGCAAGCAGGAGAGCTGATTTATTTCTGATGCATAAAAACGGGAAGTATTCTCCGTGTAAACTACACGCTGCTGAAAACGTATGACGAGCTTTGAGATTTATCTTGCTAACAGAATGAGCATTTTTTTTTCGATATTAGTCAGTGCTAGTACAACTTAAATACTGTGAAGTAAACCAAGCCTCTACGGATCCTTCTCTTTTAATATATACTTTAAGGCTGATGAATTTTTGGAATGATATTAACGGTGCCGATCGTTGCGTTTAACCATTTTTTCAAACACTGTTAAATACTTCTGATTACCAGCAGTGCTGGTAAAATATAACATCGAAATAAACAAAATGAGAAAGGAGCGGGAGGGAAGGGTGGGGAGCGGGGGAAGCGGGGGGAAAGGGTGGGGAGTGAGGAGAGAGTTCAACTAATTTTAAGTGCGTCAGATAAATGTTACGACTAACTCATAGAAACCAATCAAAAATATTCAAGTGCAGTACAATAGAGCCTCTTCCTCAATGCCGGTTATAGAAAAATATTAAAGGCGTTTTGATTAAAGTAGGGAAGTGACCGTCTTAGACATTGTCATCCAAGGACGGCACACAGAAGCCAAGATGTGCGCGAAAAGCAAAGTCCACCTTGAATTTTCCTGAACAAGAGAGGATCAGGTTAAGATATTGAATACAGTGTTGCTTCAAATGCGAAAAAAATTTCATACAAAATGACTCTTAGCCGACAGCGACTCTAGCTTCTTGAGTGCTTAGCAAACCTCCCAAGTGCATCCATAACTCAATAGTGTACATTGTAGCGTTTACCATTTGTTTTATAAAATAACATTGATACATTGTATCAAAAGAGTTTCTTTTATTTAAGAAATCTTACACTTGACCAGCAAAAAAAAAAGCGCGCGCGGAAAACTGGTTTGCTCACGTCAGCAGCGTATACCCAAGAGCAAATAGTGGACGCTGAATTGACCGATAAGAGCGCGCTTAATTTTGGTTATGTTATAAAACCATTTTTGAGTCTCAACTGTGTCTCACTTAGATACCTGTTGTTAAGCAAAGCTCTTTAATTCAATTCATTAAATCTGAAAGCAAGAAATGAATGGGTTACACTATCTCCCTCTGGGTTAGGGCCATTTCAGTCCCTTTGCATCCACTGATTCCTTCTTGCACTTGGTGACCAACTTTGCACGGCTCATTTTTAACCAAAAACGATGTAACTCACAATATTGAAAGCAGCGATGAGACCATTACCATCAAAATATAGAATCATTCCAGACAGGGGTATTTTATTTTTTAGACTCATACAACAACAGTTGCCAATAAATGGAGCTCGTCAATGATATTGTCGTTCGATCTTTCCGTTAGGTGATATTTTAAAATATTGTAATGTCATGCGATGTGCAACCATTTTCAGTCCTAGACTTGAAATGTCTTTACTTCTTTACCTATCTTGAAAACAATCAATAAAGCTTTTAAATAGAAGCGGAAGATTTCGAAAAATATTCATTCTATATCTAATACAGCAACCACTGATAATGGGGCACTTAAGTTAAGTCGTCACCAATATTGCCATAGCTTCGCTCGTTTCACTCAATGATATTGTTATCCGAGGAATGCTGCGTATTTTAGTCACCCATTTGAATTTCCTTTACATCTTGTCTACAACGCATATGTAAACTGTCTCCCTAAAAGAAAATCATATTCATTTGATACGTGCGTATCAAGTTCGTTTCGTAGTTTTTGACGCTATGACACATTGTCTAAATCAAATCATGGCATCCAATATTTGCTTCAGTTTTGAGAGGCCAACATAAGTCAACGTTGTTTGTATAGAGCAGAATTTTGCATTGCAATGCTTTGGTACTGAAATTTAAAGTGCTTTTGTATCAAATTAGACTGTTCTACTGTATTCGTTTAATTTCCGATGGTTCTATTCTTTGAGGGTTCTTCCCAATCGACAAGTATTTTGAACGTTGGTGATTTACAGAGAGCAACAGTATGAAGATAATTTAAACAAATATTTCCTTAGCGTACACTGTACGCTTTTGGCCACCATACAAGTTTCATGCGCTAATGACGTCCTTCCGCCCCTATCCTTAGATTTTGAAAATGGACTTGAAACTGCTAAACTATACAAAAATAAAAACAAAATTCTTATTCTTGGTCAGATGCACCTACCTTTCTCGCGTCACAGCTTCAGTTGCCATACAAGTGACAAGTAGAACTAATAATTTTTGAAAGGTATGATAATAATTTAATAAATTTGATGAAGTGATTGTATCTGACCAAATTACCAAGATTTCAGAACTTTCAGCTTCAGGAACCTGAACTGAAATAAATTTTCTAGCTCAGAAACCATGGCTAGAGTAAATACCTTGTCTAACCCGTGGGAAAATTTACATGTCGTAATACTTGTATTTCAGGGTGGTTCATCGTGGACTAAAACAATTTCTCCGTACGGGCTGCATACTTAAACCTGAAAATAAAGTTTCTTTCATTTCTCTTCTTTTCGTTTCGCCTTCCTTTTTTTTCTACCCGAAATACAAAGGAATCGATTTTTGCGCTAAACATATCTTCTTTATTGCAACATCCTTCTTGAATTTACTCACTTCTTGGTTCACCGCGTCGTTAAGAATTATTTTTAATTATTTTTGGCCAACAAGAGTCAAACTTAGTAATTACAGTTAATTCATATGCACAAGTGATATTGCCCTTGTTTGCAACATCGTGAAGCAATTTCTCAATTTAAAAAAAAAAAGTATCTTCTCAGTAAACGTCAGTACCCTCAGGGAAGAACATAAACAAATAACTCAAATAATAAATTACAATAACATAGTATAAACTGTTAAATCGAACTATTTTCATTAACGATTTTTTTTATCATAATTTTTCAGCAAGGATGTCCTACCATGGCAAGCCACTTCCTAAGTTTTACCAGCGAAAAAACAATTTTTTTCCCCAAATTGATTTACTTTGTCGAGGGAAGATAATTAAAAAACCTTGGCAAGCGATTGTTTTCGGTTGAGCGTTCGACTTTTGTTGCGTCTGCGACACCAAATGCGCTGCAATCGAAGAGGAAAAAATATTTCATGACTTCGAAATTATAGTTGAGTAATATCGATTTTATTAATAGGACTCTTTGAACCTCAAAAACCATAATTTGTCTTCACAAGTGTTAAATGTATGCTTCTACTTATGTAATCAAGGTTCCTTGAAGGAAACAGGTTTAGGCAGAAACAATATCAAAATCTACGTAAACGGGTTCCTAAATTACGTGTTTCTAATTAACTGACTGAGTAAAACGGGTTCGTTCTTGTACCACAGGTCAGTGTTGTCAAGAAGCTCTTCACGATATGGGAGAAATCTACTATAAGAACATCATCCAGTTTGAGACCAATTTCTAGGATTGCACCTTTATAAAGGTAGCTACGAAGTTTTAAAATCTGGCGTATGTTTCTTTGTTAATCACATCGAATAGTGCTGTTCGTGCGAAGATAAGATGCTAAACGCCTCCGGTACCTCCTTGCTTAATCTGGATCAACCGCACTCAGTGTCCTCGGTGACTTGTTTGTACTTCACCGCTCCTATCTTTGAGTCTTCGGCCACACTCATTGTAAATGTTATCGCATGCGTTTTAAACTCTTTCTTTGCTATTTTTTCATCGTTGGGAAACCTGCTCATTGTGGCCACGCTCTGGAGAACGAAATCACTTCACACACCAGCGAACATTCTCCTTGGATGGTTCACCTTTTGTGACTTCTTGTTGGGATTTTTGGCAGCGCCAGCTTTTGTGGCCTTCAAAATAGCAGAGATCACAAGAAATTTTGAACCTTATTGTTTTCTTCGCTCGGTCTACGACTTTAGTTCACAAACAGCACTTAGTGCGTCATTTGTCATACTGACTTTTATGACCATCGATCGATATTTATCACTTCACCTCCACCTCAGATACAAGGAAGTCATCACAAACAAGATTATCACAAAAGCAGTGTTATTTGCGTGGATCGTGTCTCTTTCGATAACAGTGACAAAAGTATGGTTGGAGCCGAAGACTTTTCTCTTCATCATCAAGGCTACTAAACTGTTTTGTCTCTTCATCATCATAGCAGTCTACGTAAAAATACTTGTGCTAGTGCGACGTCATCAAATCCAAATAGACCAACTGACTGTCTGCGACCGCCGTGGCTCTCAGAGAAGCCTCTATGATTTCTGTCGCCTCAAGAAGTATGCGTGCACCGTGGCATTTATTGTTTTTCTTATCATTGCTTGTTATGTCCCTGTCGTTGTTGTCAGCTTTTGTAAAGCTTACGTTTGCACAGAAGGGGTAGAACATGCCAAAATTATGTAGACCCTAATGGTAACATTTATCTTCTTGACATCGGCCCTGCATCCGCTGGTTTTTATCTGTCGCATGAAAGAAGTAGAGGATGCAATCAAGAAATTTCTTAATATAAAATGAAAGCCTGTTATAATTAATCATAGAAAAACGCATAAAATCAAAATACATATAAATAACTGTACAGAAATAAAGAAATATGTCAACAACAATAATTATTCATTGTTTTTGGTTGTGATCTTAAAGAAACTGTGACCCAATACTGAAAAACAGCATCAAAATAAAATTAATGACGAAATGACCTATATTATTTTAGTTTTGTTGTTTCCTGTCAAGCATACATGACGAATAGTAATTGTTACGGTAACAGCGTAAAGTGATGCGAAAAGCATTATTTATACTAGGCCACCCACGCAATATGCTTATTAGCAAGCCGTGATCTGGCTTATGACTGAAAAAAGGAGGTCTGTTGCACTTTCTATCGTTGCACTAACCTCAGCGGAATCTCTTGTAGGCAGAATTAACAGGCAGATTTCGTTTTCTACTGGTAGGTGAAACATATCTATCCTTTTTATGTTCTTACCAATCTTTAAATCTAAATATCTCAAAATGAATTTGCAACCGCGGTAATATTTTCTAAATTTTGCTGTTTCCTTAAAAAATCTCCAGATTTGTAACCAAATGGCTTCATTCGCGTTTTCGTGACAAAACAAAACACAGGCAAAAACAAAGCAACACAAAAACCAATTAAACAGGAGACTGAACAAAGCTTTAGAGGAACACTGATAAATTCCCTGGGCTTATAAATCATTACAATAAATTGATAAGGATATCAATATTAACAATATAAAAATATCAGAATACAAAATGTATAAAAACGCGGAAGTGTTGAAATAGTTTCACGAACGGCAAAAGAGATCTGATTAAGTAGGAGTCAATTTTCAAAGGGAAAAAAAGGACCAAATGTCCACTTTTCATCAACTTTGAATCGAGGAAAAGCTCGCCTTCTAGATCAGAAGGTGTTTTCCACCTCAGAAAGTAATAGTCGCTCCCAAACGTGGATGATCAACATCCTTAATACTCAAGCAATTTCAGCATCAATTTGCTCAATGTTACAAATCATGGATACTTTGTAGATGCACAAGGGTGTTGATATGACATATATAGAGGTACCTGCAGACACAGTCGTAAATCTTCAATCACATTACATTAAGAACGCATCAGTTTGATTTGCTTGTCACTACGAGCTGTTTTATAATGATGAAATAACTATATTCAACCCGTGTAAAATATACCACGCGACACTGCTATACTCAGTGTATGAGTAGGGATGAAAAGTTTGGCTGAAACCGAGGTTCACTTTTCTCGAAAAAACATTTAATATTTCTGAAAAGCTCTAAAAAAGAGAGTAAAGTGTGTGATGTCGTTTTGCACTCTTTAAGCGCACTGGTCTACAACTCTTGTTATGAAATCGTCATTGAACAACCAGGAAAGAGATATTTGGGTAGATTCATGAGAGCTACCTAATCAACAAGGTACCACTTACAGCTTGGAAGTGTGTTTCATTATTTAAAATGACTGCCCAATACTAAGATGTTATTATATTACCATCGTTTTCTCCGTACAGGAGGAGCTTCAGGAAAAACGGGGCAGGCATATTCCTATAGGTAATACCATCATTTCGATTCCAACTTGGTGTTAATAATTATGAGTAAATTGTTTAAAGGCGACAAAATTGTCTGAGTCCGTTTGGCGAGTGCAATTGTAGTCTTTGAAAAATTTACAAGTGCTTATTTGCACCGAATTCCACGAGAAACAATGTTGCAACTTGTTGAAAATTTGCATGGAAAAAGCATTACAGAAAGTTAAGACGAACGAAATTTTGACAGCGCGCGTTATTTGTAAGTTGCATTCGCGTTACAACTTTGCACTCGTGTAAATGAAAAATGCACTTGTTTTCAGCCAATCAGACGTGTGTAATTTCTTCATGTCTCTTAGATTATTACGGTAATAATGAATCATTTATGTTAACCACTCTGATAAAGCAGTTGAGTTTATTAGGATGAAATAAAAGTGCCATGCCAGTTGGCTTTCTTAAAAAATGCTAAGCGACTAAAAAATTCCGAAATGTGAACATTTAATAAAACGTACCAAACCCTTGTGTCTCCGTTGTAGACTCTGGTTTGTTTTCCCGTTTTTGGCTCACTTGGCAGTCACTGTTACTCCTGTTATGAGACGGCAATGATCGGCGTCGACAAAATCTGGATCGGACCGGATCGGAACACGGACTGGATCAAGGACTGGATCACGGATCGGATCACGGATCGGATAATAAGAAGAAAAAAAAAAGGTATGGAATGTAAAAAGAAAAAATCGTTTATAAAATAACAATAACTAAAGAAATAAAAGTGAAAAAAAAGAGGAAAATTCTAGATGAAAATTAGCGCGTGAAGCCAAGAGATTAGAGTGCAAGCCCCGCTGGAAGATATTTTGTCCCAAAACCTAATGTACTCACTTTTACGGCTGTGTGGAGGGGTGTTGTGTAGTGCAACCTTAGATGAAGGCAAATTAAACGAGAGGTACTTATCATTTCATCAGTTAGTTATGATGTGTGTTTTCAATATCACCTCACTTGCTACTTTTCCCTCATTATCATCTAGCACACGCGAAAGAAGAGGTGAAAAACAAGGTGACGAGTAAGAGTATTTTAGATAGGACCACTAAAGTGCACATAAGCAATTTATGTAGTCCATGCCGTACACATTAATAATTTCAGTCTCCTTTATGAATTTATTAATTCTTCTTTACTTGAATTTTTATTTTTTAAACGCCAAGCAATTTAAATCTTATGATTCCCCGACTTTATCCTTTCATGTTTGGAAACCTTTTTTTTCTATTTTCCGACTCGTGATCCGGTCCGTGATCCGGTCCGTGATCCGGTCCGGTCCAGTCTATATTTGTCAAGCCGGGCAATGATATCAAAGCAAGCCCAAAGCAGCCGAGATCGCCAGAAACCAGAATGGTGACATATGGAATTGATAAGTTTTATTAGTCTTGCGTATAAAACGTTCAAATTTCGGAACATTTTGATCCCCATACTATTCCTTATAATGCGTTTAAATTCTCAACGGTTCCCCGCGTAACTGAACGCCATGTCACGCAACGCGTGACGATTTCATTAGTTAATATATTGCTTTTTCCCGAGACGCGAGTGTTGAAGATAATCTCAGACTAATCTGAACGCGATCTTCTCATTCGGTACAGCTACAAATTACAAGGCTAGACTCGAAACTGAAACAAATATTGAATTACAAGAAAAAGAATAACACACAAAGCGACAACTTACATATTTTTGGCCATCTCCAAGCTAAACCGAACATCAACATCAAAAGGCAAAAAAAGCTAACCTTACTACGCACAAACAACGCACAACGATTTTAACACATGGTTGCTAAGGTCATGTGATCTGTACAAGGGGGGACCGGAGGGGCAAACTGTCCCTAACAGCGAGCTTACGACGCTTGTGCCCAAGTTTGATTTTAACAAAATAAACTGGAACTATAATATCATATTTTAAACTTGATGATGGAGAGAGACTTAGGATTCAGCAATGAAGATATTTGTAGAAACCTAAAAAAATACAATAATAATAATATTTTTTTTTATTAGATAATAACTTTATTTCAAAACTTAAAGCATTACTAACAATAACTTCGCGTGGGTAACGGTTTTTCCTCTCGTACATTTCCAAACTAATTGACACGGAGCACATCTGTTAAATTCGGTTCTCTAATATAATAATAATAATAATAATAATAATAATAAATTCGGTTCTCTATATATAATAATAATAATAATAATAATAGACTATTAAAGTGTCAGAAATATTTAGCTAAAAAAAGCTAATTGGGGAAACTAACACAAATATAAAATATATATTATACTAGCATTATATTAAAATAGATACATAGATAGTAGTTACAAAATTCACACGTTTCATAGTTCTAATTAATTAATTAAGATAAAAACAGTAATGATAGTAATAATAATGCTAATAATAATAGGTGCAGCGTTACTGATACGTTGATGGCCTGAACTGATTTTTCAAATGCTATTTACCATGGCTTACCGTATTAAAACTAGGAATAGGTAAATCACGACTACGTAATTATCATAATTCTTATAAAACATGTCACCGATGTTTTCAGGTGCCCATGAGTTTTTAACCTTGTACTTTAATTTCGGTATATCTTGTAAGCGTCTATTTACCACACGAGGCAGCTTTGCCTGACTTAGCAATTCCTCATACTCTGCCTTCTTGTTATTATATACTGCACACAGTGCCCACTCTTGCGCCCTTTCTAGTTTTCTAGCGTCAGACGCTTTACAGAAATGCCACATTGCATGACAATACGTGAGACTGGGAAGAATTGCCGATTGGTAAAGTTGGAGCTTGGCTTCAGTTCACTCGAATTTCATTCGTAAATAGGATTCGTAAATAAAATAAATTAATTCCAAACATCAATCAAATTTTCTCTTTTGTTTTAAAGTTGAGCTAATGCTGAAAGGTTTCAAATGGTATCTCGTGTCAGCAGGTAAATAAATCTCCTGGAAGGTGGAAGTAGAGCGAAACTTTAAGATGAAACACAACAATAATAATGATAATATTTATTGATTTGTATTGCGTAAATATCAATCCAGAGAAAAAAAATTTGCATCTGCGCATAAATTTTATTGATAGTAAAAAAAGCATTCATTTGACCATCTACTAAGGACTTTCATTGGTTCTCTATGACAAAATTTTGACATCAAAGTTTTTGAAAAGGCTTGGGTATTTCTTAAATAGGCCAACTCATACAACAACTCAGGTTATACATAGAATGTACAGTTTTTCTTCCATTTTTCCAATTATACTGTAACAAGCTTGCACATCTTTGTAATATATTTCAACCCAACTGATTTTCCACAACTTGTAAACACCATTGATGTACAATTATTAAATAACTGTAAATAATAATAATTCAATAATTTAATATTTATTTTGCGCAAATTAACACTTTTCGGGGGACTATGGACGGACTGCATCAGCAGTTTACAATCAATCGAAGGAAACTTATTTGAAGGTGCCCCCTCCCCCACAAATTCCCAGTAAACATGCCAGATCACATCAAAGTGAGTGAGTCCCTTAACGTCACCTGTCCAACCAAATTAACTAGTTAATAGATGCAGGAGACGGGGCCTACGGTTTATTCATCCTTATCCGAGAAGACTAGAATGTCTATTCATTTCTTGATATTATAGAAAGGTAGCACATTTTCCTTAGTGAGGGCGACATTGGAGCCTATTAGAAACCGCAAAACCGTAGAAAAAAATCATCCAAAACCGAAAAACCGAAACAAAATCGATCAAAACCAAAAAACGCATGCAAAACTGTCAAAGCCGACACATTTTGACATCCCAGTTATCAAAATGATTTGGATATATCAACAAAGTTGAAATGGTAAATTGGCCAACTTAACGATTACAAA